TTAAATGTGCAGGGAGCACGTCCCCCTCACATATAATTGTTATGACACCCATGAACCTGAACCAAATGTACCAGTCTTACAGGTAAAACAGCTCCAACACACTACACAGATTTGTCCTGATGTCCTCAGCAATCCAAGTAGATAAATCTAACAATATTTAGTCAGGTCCTCTGGATGGATTCTTCTTCGTTCAAATGTTTTGTCTTTGAATCCAAAAGACTTTCATGAATGGGCTCTCTTCACAAAGATGCATTTCTTTACTCCTCTCTCAAACTAACGTTCCTCTCCATCAAGGATGTGCACATCTTCATCGCTGAAAGAGTGACCTCTGGCCTGGAGATGAGAAGGTGCTGCTTATGACCGTTTGTTTCAGCTCCTCAGACTGAAGAAGTCTTCTGGATAAAAGAGGAAACGTTTCAACAAGAAGAATCTGTCCAGAGGACCTGACTCAGACTTATTAGACTATACATATTTATTATTTTTTATATCTATTATATATCACAATAACTGCTTGACTTAAATAAATACATTTAATGAAACTTGTATATTTAAAAGAGCATTTTTGCTTTAAAATGATCAGTTGTAAAATTAGTTTTCCTCCTTGACAACTGGTTAAATTCGCACAGACATGACTGATTTTTTCAAGTGACCAGTTTCAGACAAATAACTGGTTATTTTCTCATTTTAAATGTATGTTTGCTTGCAATTACAGTAGCTGAGCAGAAAAAACAAAAAGATACACCCTTAAAAGGTCATGTCTAAATGTAACAAAGAGAATATTTGTGGAAGGAACAATATTTAAAATATTTTAATGTCACAAATGACCAAGTTTTTTTGTTCAAACTACTTTCTGTCTAAAAGGAAAGAAGAAGTGCTGGTGAATTATATTAAGATTTATCTTATTGTTACTAGTTGTACAGGTGCAAACTATTTGTAGTGCTAATATGGCAATGCACTGTAATGTGTAGTTTTATATAAATACATGTTACTTTGTACTTGTATAGTATGCCAAGTAGTTTGTTTTCTTTTGTATTTTACAGCTTTGCAATTTTTTATGTGGGACAAAACAAACAGTCTGAGCTTACAAGGTTTTGTCAGAAACCATCCATCCATCCATCCATCCATCATCTTTTACCCACTTCTTCCCTTTCGGGTCACTGCTGTCCATATCCAGCAATCACTGTGCGAGAGGCGGGGGACACCCTGGACATGTCTCCAGTCCATCACAGAGACACACAAACGAGACAAACAACCATTCATTTTCTCACTCACACCTAGAGACAATTTAGAGTTACCAATCAGCCTAACATGCATGTTTTTGGTCTGTGGGAGGAAACCGGAGAACTCGGAGAAAACCCACGCATGCACGGAGAGAACATGCAAACTCCACCCAGAAAGGCCCCCCAGCTGGTATTTGATCCGGCAACCTTCTCGCTGAGAGGCAGCATCTCTACTAACTGTGCCACTTCACAGTCTCTAACAAAGTAAAGTCATGGAAAAAATCTCTTTTTACCTGAAACGCCCGTAGTTTGCATGAATGGAAAATGCATGCTTAATGTTTCAGCACCTACTTCAATTATGTCCCAAAGTGAATCCTGTACCAGAAACTGAACGTTTGCCGATCAAATTACTTCACTTAAATGAATAATTATCAGACTACATCATTATAAAACAATAGCAAACCCTTTCTGGACAGATTTTGTTTGACGTGCACTTAACATCGGGACGGCAGCTTGGTGAATAATTTCTCAAGTAAAACTCACTCCATTCATTTCAGCTGGTCGCTGACTGCAGCAGAGACGAGTTTATGGGAATTTTATTCTACGTTAGGTGTGGATGATTCTTCTATCTGCTTCAGGCCAGAGTCCATAAATATTTTCTTCCTCTTCTTCTTGCATAATCACATCTACTGTGTTAGTCCATGCGGAAGATGTGATAGTTTGCTTTTACAGATGATTAAGCCCTGTCAAAATATAACTGTGGCAACAATGAATACCAAACAGGGCCCTGCCGACTTTACAGTACATTTTATTTTTTGCCTAAATTGTCAAATGTGAAAACTGCTGAGAAGAAAAAACAACTAGGATTCTCTTTCTCTGCGCTGCCGTCTCAACTGAGCTGCTGTCCCTTTGGGCAGAATGAGGGAGGGATGGAGGGATGGAGGGAAGGGGTGGAGAGAAAATCAGTGACAGAAATAAAAAAAGGTGACCACTGATTGTCCTGCTAGAGCGTGCATCAAAAATAAGACCATGAGCAATTACATTTGCTCAGCATGTCCTGTGGGGTCACCTATGTGGCACAGACAGATAAGAATAAATTCATGTCCATCGAGCTGGGAGCAGTTTACTCACTGCTCTTCGTTTTAATCCATTTAGATAAATTATAATCACATTTAAGAGAAAACTGTTTTTCCGTATGTAAGAACACACACATTTCTTATGGCAGCCTTGTTAATAAAGCACAGATTATGATTTATTTTAAGTAAATTTCAGCAAAATGGACAAGAACAATTAATGTCTTATTGTCTTTGAATGACCTCCGTTTAGCGAATTAGAGTTTAATCCAGATTGGATTCATAAACTAACGATTAACCTGAACTGCTGATATATTAACTAGAAACTAGGGTGGGCAGGACAGTGGCGCAATGGCTAAGATCACAACAAAAAAGGTCACAGGTTCGCCTCCCATTGGGGCCGTTGTTGCATGTGTGGAGTTTCTTGTACTCAGACTAAAACACATGGATGTTGTAAATTAGTAGCTTATTTTTAATAAGGTGAAAGTGTGAACGTTTGTCTTTCTGCTTAGTCTTTGTGGGTTTGTGATGGACTTACAGTCTGTCCAAGGTGAATCCAGCCTCCTGCACAATGACTGCTGAACCTGGATGGAAAACCATGTAGCAAAAATGGATGGATGACTAGACATGTGATACAATCTAAAAGTCCCTGGTTTGATCCCGGGTTTCAGCACAATTTTGTCAGTCGTCTGACCACGGCGCCCTTCCAGTACTTTTTGTTCCCAGGTGGAGAGGAAACTCACACAAACTTAATAAAACCAAGAAAGGTAAAGTCTTTTTACCCTTGTATGTCGATAAGGCAGGAAAATTACAGGTGACCCGTCGTAACCTGGAAGCGGAGGCTCCATGCAAAAGAACGCCCCAGCTTACGTTGGCCCTTGGCTCCGCCTTCACATCCAGGGCGAGCACAGCCTATCAGTGTACCAGTGAGGCGACTATGTGTGACCTCACTGGTTTTATCTGTTGCTGATGGTGGATAATAGGGTAATATGCAAATCTAAGTGTTGGAAACAAGCAAAACAAAAATGACCCCTTATCGGGTGTTGACCCTGGGATCACTCGTGATCAGTTGTGACTGATCTGATCTGGTCAGAACTAGTTTATAATTCAGAGTAGAGCAGACCGGGCCTCCAGCAAGATTAAACTTCTAACACGTGGAACTTGAAACAAAAAACAACGAGCTGTGTATGTAGGCTGGCTGCAGTATAAGTTTAAATTCGTGTACCTGAATGGGACAATTACCTAAATAAAAATTAAACATTTCAGGTTAACGTTTTGCTAAGTGTTGACCATGTAGTTCCTACCTTCCTGCTGTATGTTCAAGTATTCATTTTACTTTACTTAATTACTTATTTGATGCCTAAAATACCTACATTTTTTGTCACATCATAGCCCCGGATCACAATGTGCAGACTGGGGATCAAAGAATAAAATGTAGCAGCGTCCATAGGGATGCACAGATCCACTTTTTTTTTTTTTTTTTTTAC